AAATGAGAGGAGGCCTGTGCCCAGCTGTGGGACGTAAATAGGCTGCAACTTTACTTTACTTAAAACTGAATGGAAAGTTATTTGGTATTAGAGGGATTCTGGGTAAAGATGAGAGGTATTTACGCTACCAGGTTTTAAAACCAGGTATTCACTTCAAAGTACGGCGCCCTGGTACGAGCAAAAAATACTTGCATAGGAAAATTATCCATATCTCTATAGTGGTAAGGAACTCAATCGTATTTGTGAACGAAAAATACTTAGAACTTCAAAGTATTTTTTTTATTAATACGACTTTGCTCCTTATTCATAGTAGGATAACATGGAATACGGGTGAAATTCCTATGCAAGTATTTTCAAATTTTGACACCACGGTTGGACACGTCCCTCGCGTCGCAATGAGACGTATTTACGCTACCAGGTTTTAACTATAAAGTACGGCGCCCTTTTACGACCAAAAAATACTTGCAAGTATGAGAATACTTGCATAGGAAAATGATCTATATCTTAATAATAATAAGAAACTCAATCGTATTTGTGAATGAAAAATACTTTGAACTTCAAAGTATTTTTTTTATTAATACGACTTTGCTCCTTATTCATAGTAGGATAACATGGAATACGGGTGAAATTCCTATGCAAGTATTTTCAAATTTTGACACCACGGTTGGACACGTCCCTCGCGTCGCAATGAGACGTATTTACGCTACCAGGTTTTAACTATAAAGTACGGCGCCCTTTTACGACCAAAAAATACTTGCAAGTATGAGAATACTTGCATAGGAAAATGATCTATATCTTAATAATAATAAGAAACTCAATCGTATTTGTGAATGAGAAATACTTTGAACTTCAAAGTATTTTTTTATTTATACGACTTTGCTCCTTAGTCATAATAGCCTAACATGGAAAGCGGGTCGAATTCCTATACAAGTATTCTTCCTTATATATTACTATACTCTTTGCAAGTATTTTCAAACTGACACCGCGGATGGACAAATGGATTTGGTCGATAAACCTTCGTCTAGGGCGTCCCTTCCCGACCCTGCCGTTCACTTCTGCAACATAAATTTGCTTTGTCACTCTTTCCTCGTTCATTCTTTCTACATGACCAAACCACCGAAGCATTCCTTTCTTAATCCTTGTCACAACGTCATCTTGCAAACCACACTTTTGTCTTATCACACTATTTCTCACCCTGTCATTCAGATTTAGCCCTAGCATACTCCTTAAGGACCGCATTTCTACAGCATTTATTCCACTCTCATGCTTCTTCTGCCAGACCCAACTTTCACTACCATACATTAAAGTAGGGACTAACACAGCATTATGAATTGCCATACGTGCCTTAGTTGACACATTCTGACTCCTCATAATAGCGTGTAGAGCCCCATTCACTCTATTTCCTGCGTTCACTCGTCGTTCTATATCCTTGTCATATCTACCATCCCTGCTGAATAAACATCCCAAATATACAAACTCATCCACTTGCTCAATTAACTCCCCTTCTATTCTTATTTCACATAAAGTTTTACTTTCTTCTCTTTCAAAAACCATCACTTTCGTCTTACTTGCGTTCACTTTCATACCCCTTTCTTTCAATGACCAATTCAATTTCAAAGGAAAAGTAATACGTTGTGGTGGGATGATGAGGTACGGATGGAAGTTGAAGCAAAGAAGAGAGCATGGCTAGATTTACTAGCAACTAAAGCTGGTAATTCTGGCGGTATGAATGAGGAGCTTGAAAGAAAAAAGGCAGACTTTAGACGTATAAATAAGAGAGTAAAAGAGGTTGTTGAAAGGAAAAAGCAAGAAAGGATAGATAAAAATGATAGAAGGATATCTGATAACTTCCAGGAAAATATTAAAATGTTCTGGAAGCTGCCAGGGGAAATTCAAAACAGCCTAGAATGAATGCTATACGAGACGAGAATGGCTGCATGTTGAATGATGAAGTTTCGAATTTAAAGAGATGGAAGGAATACTTTGAAAGCATGTTTAAGAGTGAAGAGTCGTCTGAAATAAGTGAAATAGTAATTCCGGAAGAAGTGGAGAGAGGTAGGGAGATAAGTGTAGATGAAATAATGAAAGCAATGAAAAGCATGAAAGCAGGTAAGGCAGCCGGATATGATAGAGTATCACTCGAAATGCTAAGGGCTGGTGAGGGTGTGGTTGCAGGCGTGCTGTACACCTTATTTAATTTGTGTTGGGAACTGAAGCGGGTACCGGAAGACTGGTGCAAAGCCGTAATAGTCCCAATATATAAGGGAAAGGGGTCGCAGCAGGACTGTAAAAACTACCGTGGTATCAGCTTGCTTAGCATTGTGGATAAACTGTATGCTAAGGTGTTAATTGAAAGAGTTATGGAAGAAACTGATGGAAAAATTTGGGATGTGCAAGCTGGATTTAGAAAGGGGATGGGGTGTACGGATCAAGTCTTTTCCATGCGCATGATAGCGGAGAAGTTTTTGGCCAAAAACCAGAAAGTTTTTTGTGCGTTCATGGACTTGGAAAAGGCTTATGACAGAGTGGACAGGAATGTGTTATGGCAAACACTGAACTCATTTGGGTTGAGCGCTGGCTTGATACAGGCATTAAGGTCTCTTTATAGGGACTCTAGTGCTTGTGTCAGGATCAACGGGGTTACTCGGACTGGTTTGGCATTCATAAAGATGTCAGACAGGGATGTGTGGCTTCCCCGTGTTTGTTTAACCTATTTATGGACAGTTGTTTGCAAACTTTGAAAGTTGAAGAATGTGGGTTGAGAATGGGTGAGTCAACCATCAAATGCCTTTTGTACGCCGATGATCAAGTCATATTTGCATCGTCGGCGGCCGAGTTGCAAATGATGGTTACTTTAATTTCATTTTGTTACCAAAAGAAATTTAAAAACGTTCAGTATAAATTTTTGCCCGAATCAAATTAGGCATTCATATACATATTGACATTAACAAATACTTTCAAGTATTTTTGAAACCTGGTTTTCGACCCTGGTATTTTCCCATACTTAGAAGCCCTGGTATTAAATTTTGCAAGTATGTCTCATCTCTAATTCTGGGTATAAAATTAAGACTATATCACTTTCACGACATTTATTGCAATTTTGCTACTTTTAGTAGAGTTTTGTTGAATAATTTAATATTTCAATGTCTCTTTCACCTGGTTTTGATTCTGATGATTTATGTTTCAGTGAGTCTCAATACGATTCACCTGCGAAAAATCTTAACACCGCAATTCAGAAAAGGTTGTAATTTGTACAACGCCATCTATTACGTTCTTTGTGAGAAAACATCCTTTTTTAATTTAAGGAAAACATATTTTTTACTGTGTTTTAAGTACTATAATAGAACGATACGAAATATATTATAATAGAACGTGTTTTTTACACAGGAATCTTTTTATTACTATTTCTGAGATTTTGTGGCGCCATTAAACAAATTCGAACCTACATTTCAAAATAATAATCTATCTAATCTAATAAAATTCAATAAAACAAAGATTAAATGAACTTGATAATACGCTTTATGATTTTCTTAAGGATTTCATTGAAAAAAAGATGTTTACTCAAAACGTCATGCGTCCATAAACAAACAGACAGACCGTCAGTTAGTACAATTCTAAAAATTATAAAAATGTACTTATTTAATGATTTACAGTCCCCATAATGATTTTAGTCACAAATTAATATACTATATAATATTCAGAAACAGACACAACATGTTATTACCATTTTTATTATATAGATTTAAAGAGAGATGGCGCTGTTAACATCAATTCTAAAAATAAGAGATTAATTGACACGATTGATAGAATAAAAAACATAAAAGAACTTATAAATCAGCGCCTGCATAGTAAGCAAAAAAGAAAGTTTGATCCTCGCCGAAAAACGAAATTGTTAATAGCTCTTAATATTTGATTTACCACATAGAGTACTCGGCGGTAAAAAAATAAAAAATAAATGAGATTGTCAACACACAGTAGGGCAGCGTGTCGTTAATATAAAGGTTAGAAGCAAATATGAAACTCATCTACAGGAAAAAATTTTAACCTGCCTTTTTGTATCACATTTGTGCCACACCACCATCTATCGATGAAATCGGTTAACTATTGTACTTTAATTTAGTTTAGATAATAAGGTTAATATATTTTGTATATATTTATTACGTTCTATATGTAATACTTTTGTTTACTGCGTTTTAGATATAATTATATCATTATAGAACATTATTTTACATCATTTAATTATGATTTATAATATAATATTAATTTTGAAATGTACTTGATGATTCATCCAACGCCACTATTGAACAAATTCGTACCTATACTTAGTACCCATACTTCAGAATATTTGTCATAACTTTTGATGGAATTTAACCAATTTTATTGAAATAAAGATTAAATGTAACCTGAATATACACTTAATAATTTACTTAACTATTCTTATGATATAAATTAGTACTTTATACGTGATACGTTAACAAACAAACAGACAGATAGACAGACAGACAGACAGAAAAATCTAAAAATGGTAGAAATGTATTTAATTACTTATTTTTAGTGCCTCTCAATCACTTTTATTACAAAAATATAAAATGTACAGACATCTGCTATTTACATTTTTATTATATGTATAGAAGATAGATGTTTAATACAATACGGTCCGGGAGGTCGAAATACGAGCTGATGGAGTGAAAAACCTTAAATAAGAATTCTGGACATTTGATTACAATTTCTATTTATTTTACCCAGTAAGCTTTGTCTTATAGTATATTCATAGGGATTAATTAAATCAAAATTATACGTTTACATTTTGTTCTATTTCTTACGTAAACTAATCTCCTATTGAAAATCTTAATTCTTCTTATTTCCACCGTTTAGCAGCGGTGATGTGAGTTAAGGCGTTTGAGCATCTATAGAACTGGAGAATGACAAATAAAAATACAAAATAATTTAAGAACTTTTATTTAATTTATATTGACACACAACTTATTAATAAAACAAGTCTATCCATCTCCGTCAGCGAGATCTTTGGTGGCAGCGGCGAGTCTTGCCCTCGCTTGACTGTACTGTCTCAACACGGCTTCTGCTCCTTGAAGCAACGCTGATGATGAGCTGCTTCCTGCTGGTGCAGGTAATTCCTGACCTCCTAGTTCATGAACTTGCTTGACGGTACTCCATCGGACGTCTATGTATCCTGTGGCTGTGTATGTGAAGTCTGCACTCTAAGAAAAGGATACTTCACGTGATGAACGTTTCCTTGGACCTTGGACTTACTGAATGGACTATATAAAGACGCGTATAAAACACGCAAATAAATATTTATTTCTATATATTCATCTATCCATCCATTACAACCTTTACAGTTCACTACTGAACATAGACCACCCACATACTCGTATATTGCCTGATAGAGGGTTTTTTCCATAGTTGCCACGCTTGGCAGGCCAATTGGCATGTGCAAATTTTATTATTTTGAGTTGTGATCAGGAAGTTGCTGCTCCCCATAACCTGTTTCAATTTCCCTCTGTCGCTTTTTACAACGCCCACGGGTTGATCCATATCAACCCGAGGAATTTAAGAATACCCACTACCCCATGGTAGTGGGTATTCTTAAACTATACGGTTATTGTATGTTAGAAGATAGAATCAAAATTCTTTAAACAAATTTGTACAACCAGGGCGTGTTGCCCTGCGGAACAAAAACGTGGTCCTTCACTGCGCGCCATATGAGAAAACTCAAAGTCACCCCGATCGATGGAGAGAGCTATATGCTCGGAGTTTCTAAAGGTGACAGAATTCGTTAGATAATATCCGCAGTAGAACCAGAGACCAACATAGCAACAAAACATAGCTCAACGGATCAGTAAGCTGATGTAGCAATGGGCCGGTCATACAGCCCGAAGCACGCACTATCGATGTGGAAGGTTCTATAGAGGCAGCCTCGTACAGGTAAACGAAGTGTAGGGCAGCCCCCCACTAGATGGAGGGATGACCTGATGAAACATGACGAGTCGAAGGATACAGGCGGCACAGGACCGTGCGCTGTGGCTATCTATGATGATGAGAAGATACAATCACAATAATATAAACTCTTCTGCTTTATCAATCCGTAACAGATCACTGTAGCAGCAGTGATCTGACGCAATGTGTTCGCGTTCGACCCTTAATATATAAAATTGTACTTATTTTAACTAAACTCGCCACGAAAACATTTGAACGCTACTGCCCACTTATCCGTTTACTGGTAACTGCCCTGTAACTAAACTCGCTACTGTTCTTGTCGATGTGTAAATCGGCCCTTAGGTTTACGATATCAGCTGAGTGACGCACTGATTAATGAGTTAGGTTATTTGTATATATTGAATTAAGTAGTAAACATTTAGTTCGTATTTAGAAATACGTACACAACAGTTTTAACAATTTAAAGTTTTGGTAAGTAGAAAGCAACTTTATAGCTTGATACAGCCATCGATCACTAATAAAAAACCATCGATGGATACAGCTCTATTTATTTAAGTTTTATCATAATAAAATATTCAATAAATCTCACGATATAGCAAAAACAAAACGTCATGAATGATATTCTAAACTTCGGTCTATGTGACGTAATCGTTCACGAGATAAAGCCTTCAACTCACAGAAAAGTATTTCTAAATACAGCGTCTTGGGGAGATAATCTTGGTTACTGAGATACTGTTTTGTTTTTATGTGTTTATTAATTAGCAACGATCTTGAGATGCTGATATCATAATGAGGGATATCAAATGATAACGCACTTGAGTTCGTCGTTGAGACATCATCATCATCATCATTACAGCCCTTCACAAGTCCACTGCTGAACATAGGCCTTCCCCAAAGAATGCCACAAAGCACGGTCCTGAGCCACCTGCATCCATCGACTTCCTGCATATCTTACCAGGTCGTCACTCCATCTAGTGGGGGGACGCCCTACACTTCGCCTGCCGGTACGAGGCTGCCACTCGAGAACCTTTCTTCCCCATTGGTTGTCGGTTCTTCGAGCTATATGGCCGGCCCATTGCTACTTCAGCTTACTAATCCGTTGGGCTATGTCGGTCACTCTGGTTCTACTGCGGATATCCTCATTTCTGAGTTTATCACGCAGAGAAACTCCGAGCATAGCCCTCTCCATAGCTCGCTGAGCGACCTTGAGCTTCCTCATCCGGCCAGCAGTGAAGGACCACGTCTCAGTTCCGTATGTCATCACTGGCAACACGCACTGGGTGTACAGTCTCGTTTTCAAGTTTTGAGGTATACCTGACGAGAAGATGTGCCGTAATTTCCCGAACGCTGCCCAACCGAGTTGAATCCGTCGATTGACCTCTCGGTCAAAGTTGGACTTACCTAGTCGGACTATTTGTCCCAGGTAAACATACTCGTCAACAACTTCGAGCTAAGTGTTCCCAACAACTACCGGCATAGGTGTGACATGGACATTAAACATGATCTTTGTTTTGTCCATGTTCATCTTAGGACCTATCCGTTTGGAAACACTATTGAGGTCATTGAGCATAGTGCTTAGGTCCTCCAGCAATTCTGTCATAAGGACTATATCGTCGGCAAATCGAAGGTGAGTGATGTACTCGCCATTGATGTTGATACCGTATCCTTTCCAGTCCAGAAGCTTGAAAACATCTTCCAATGCAGAGGTAAAGAGTTTCGGCGATATGACGTCACCCTGTCTTACACCTCTCTGCAATTGGATAGGTTTCATACTCTGGTTCTGTACTCGGATAGCCATCGTAGCCCTACTGTACAAGCACTTCAACACTTCGATATACCGACAGTCAACTTGGCATCGCTGAAGGGACCGCAGCACCGCCCAAATTTCGACGGAATCAAAGGCTTTCTCATAGTCCACATACGCCAGACATAGTGGCAAATTGAACTCCTCGGACTTCTGTACAATTTGCCGAAGGGTATGTATGTAGTCTATGGTGCTAAAGCCTTTTCGGAAACCGGCTTGTTCGGGAGGCTGGAAGTCGTCAAGTCTGCGCGCGAGACGATTCGAAAACAGCACGTAGACGCAGCTCAGAAGGGAAATCGGTCTGTAGTTCTTCAAGAGAGCGTTGTCGCCTTTCTTGAAGAACAAGACCACCGCACTTCTGCTCCACGCCTCCGGTGTAATGCCACCATGGAGGACGGAATTAAAGAGCTTCTGAAGGACTTCAAGTACCGGTTTTCCACACGCTGTCAGAAGCTCCGCTGTAATTCCATCCTCGCCTGGGGCCTTGCCGTTTTTAAGGTGCTGGAGAGCCATTCTAATCTCGCTCAGACTGACGTCCGGGATATCATAAGAATAATGTCGGATAAGACTCGCTCTTGGATCGTTACTCACACTTGCGTGCGGCTCCAACGATGACGTGTACAGCTGCCCATAGAACCTCTCAATCTCACTCAAAATCTCAGGTGCCCCGGAAACCATGCTGCCACATTCAGTCTTCAGCTTCAGGTAAAGACTTTGGAGCCTTGGTTCCGCTCGATCGCTTCTTCAATACGAGCTGTATTGAAGTTGCATAAGGCCCGCCGCATGCATTTGGAGATCTGCCTGTTCAGTTGCCTGTATGCTGTCAAATCTGTTGAAGAATGTAGCTTCATCTCCCGTCTAACAGCCATGAGATTAAGAGTGTGATCGGAGAGTTTTTGTGTTCTTCTGCAGCGGGTCTTGCAGAACTTAGCTCCGACCGCATGGACAGTTTCCACGAGCTTGTCATTCAAATCGTCCACTTCATTGCAGTCTTCTAGGCACTGAAAACGGTTTTGTAACTCGAGCTGAAAGGTTTCGAGACTTTGGATTAGAGCACGAGGGGGACGAGCGACTTCATTAGACGAGACCTCTCCAACTTAACGTTTAGCTTCAGTGTGCCTCTAACCATTCGGTGATCGCTGCCGGTTTTCACCCTCGCGATCACTGAGACATCACTGAACAGTTGTCGTCTGGTCGTCATAATGAAGTCAATCTCATTTTTTGTCAAACCGTCGGGGCTCGACCAGGTCCACTTCCTGTGGGGCCGCTTCTGTCGTTGAGTAACGTTTATTAATATAGACCTAAGTCTTTCTGACCTTTTATTTAGTCGTCCATTACGACTCCACCGGGACGAAATGTGGTGATGGATACCCTTACGCGATCATCACTAGACTGAATCCTCACCTGTAACTGTGGCTTCGACAGAACTTCTAAATCCTTTATCAAATGGCATCCACCGACAAAGAAGCGTCTACTGTCAGCTTCCACTTTGTTTTTCTCCTCTGGCCTGGTGCAGGACAGCCGCTTAGTGTTATAGCCAGAGCTCAACAACAGAGGGAGATAGCAATATCCTTCTGTGCGGTGCCTCCCCCACCAATCCGTTGAAATAACTTCGAAGAACATTTGGAGTGGCGGTGCATCTGAAAGATGCAGTCTTACATTAGAAAAATAGTGATATACATTCTATAAATACTAAGAAAAAGCACAAGTTAGTTATACCAATTACTCGACTCCAAAGAGTCGGTAATTCATTCATGGTTCAATGTATACGTTTTTAAAACAAAGTAAAAAAAAAACTCGCACTAGAAAGGACACAGAAGGACCTTAACTCTCCTAGTTCTGCTACTAGAGGGAGCTAGTGGTAACTAGTGTTGCCATGCACCAAGCATTAATGGTGATGCTCAACAGTATTATACATGCTTGAACTTTACTATTAACTTTGTTTCGTATTGTTGCGCGCCACTATTGATGTCTTGTGCATGGCAACACTAGTTATCACTAACGCCCTCTAGTACCGAGTGGCAGAACTGTGAGTCAAGATCCTTCTGGAAATTTCGGGACCGATATGTGCTCGAACATACTAGATGTTTCTACAGTAGAAGGTTCTGGAAACTATCTGAGGCCCTATATAAGGCCGGTGTAGACCACGACCGAGTCAGTATTGAATTGGCGATATAAGCGAATACTTCGAAGCGAAATAACTGCGAACTAAAGTGATCAGTAGTATAATTGTGTTTTATTATTAGTGTGGTTTTAGATTGTAATTAGTGTTCTGTAATTAAAGTGTCAATTTTGGTAATTCCATCAGCAGCTTTTTAATTGCCTCGAACCCCAAGCTCGTAATAATATATTAACTCTAGCGTCCCGCCCTGGCTACGCCTGGATTTATTAATGCGGAGTTATTTTAATTTAAGATTTTAATCAAAACCATTTATTTTGTAAATTTTCCTTTCTTATTCAAAAAATATCTTCAAGATTTCGGATAAAATATAGCCTACATCCTTCCTGGCATTGCTTTTTAGCTGTTAGTAAAGTTTCATCATAATGGATTCCACCATTCCGAAGATTAGCACGGACAGATATAGACAGACAGATATTTAAAAAATAGTTATTTATGTCTTAATAGCATGCAAATAACCCCATGAGCCAGCTATTGTAATATTAAAGACAGACACTTAATTTTATTTACATATATGTACCTATATTGTAAGACATGCAGGAAGTACGTGGTAGAGCCATGCTGCAGCTATATTATGGTTGTAGCACGAATGGGTCGGCTCGACCGGGGAAGGATCACGCTCTCACAGAAAACCAGCGTAAAATAGCAGCTTAACGCTGCTGTGTTTCTTATGGTGAGTGTAGAGAACCGGAGACCCTTTTTACTGGCAAAGAGGCATTCCATCTTGGTCCTCACGGGTGACAACGCATCTGCATCTTGAGTCTTTATTGAGGATAGATGTAGATGTCTATGGGTCACAGTAACCACTTACTATCAGGTGGACTGTGTGCTCGTTTGTCACCCGATCCTATAAAAAAAATGTCGATGGATGCAGGTGGCTCAGGACCGTGCTTTGTGGCATTCCTTGAGGGAGGCCTATGTTCAACAGTGGACTTGTGAAGGGCTGTAATGATGATGATGATGATAATGTACTTATAGACATATAGATTAACCCTACACAACGAATGAAACTAATTTTAGACTTTAGCGCGTTTGAAAACATTTTTTAATCTTGATTAAAAGTGATGTGATTGTTAAACATCGTAGAGGCTTATACATTCATTTTACAGGCGGGAGGACTCCTTTACGCCAAGAAGTACGTCCTGGTAGCTACCTCTATATATATATTTCTGTGTCCAAATAGAAGTGTTTCCACTGCTGTGTTCCCTTCCGTAGAGTATAGAGAGGTGATATAGTTGCAGGCTGTGAGGCGTTCCATCTTGGTGACAACGTAACTGTAGCATTCTTTATTTGAGATTGGTACGGACTGCGGCAGCCAATTACCACAAAGTTTTTTTAAATAGGATAAGAGTAGAGTGACAAACGAGCACACAGTGCATCTGATGGTAAGTGGTTAAAAGAGAAACTTTTTTATTCAATATAGATTATAAATAATACTTATTGAAAGTCACTCTTTTGTTTAATTACCACTGGTTCGAAAAATACCTCTGTCCTGGGAGGAACCACCAAGAAACCCAGTGGGACTTTTTTTTAAATAACAGCTTACAATCGTGTATGTTACACAATTAACTACACAAAACAAATTAGAAATAGCTTGGTAGCGATCATCTCATTTCCAGGGGTTATTATCATCCATAAATTCCTTAATATTATAATAACCCTTTTTATACAAACTTTGTTTAATAAAGTTTTTGAACTTTGAGCAGGTTGCTGTGGCCCAAAGACATTTAAATCTATTCTCGATTACGAATCAAAATGCAGGTGCGTTGTCACTCGTGAGGACTAAGATGGAATGCCTCTTTGCCAGTAAAAAGGGTCTCCGCTTGTCTACACTCACCATACGAGAAACAGCAATGTTAAGCTGCTATTTTGCTGGTATTCTGTGAGAGCGTGGTCCTTCCCCGGTTAAGCCAACTCATTCGTGCTATAACTATACAATGAATATAGCTGCAGCATGGCTCTACCACGTGTAAACCCATGCCCTAGATCACCTCTAACGACACCCGGATAAATTTTCGCGACGCAAATTTGCCCTAATATTAACGCTAGACAGGCGGAGTGACGATTACAGTATCAGACGCTAACTGAAAACCTTTAACCGTCTGGGTACTTAACGCCTGGCTAGCTAGCTATATATATATATGTACCTTTACCGTACCTATCTCAATGGATATTTCCAATTCCAGTTCAATTATATGTCCATAGCTCCAATGTGAGGAGTCTTCGTTAATCATACCCTTACTAACGTGAGTTCGGCCATGCAGTGAGCTCTCGCATATGACCTCTTCTGGAATCTAAAATAATATAAATATAATGGATGCCATATTCAATCCAGTTTACCGTCAAGTTTGCAGCGCGCTTGAAGTGGCGTCAGGTAAACTTGAGGGTGTATGGCTATCAGTGTGCATGACAAGTCTACTTGAAGCAAAAATTGAATTTCGATTCTGCAAACTTGAACGTGTGTATGAGCGGTCAAGTATGCATGACCATGACATGATGAGTAGATCGTGTATGGTATCCATAAGACAAAAGGTTGAGAGAGTTACCTACCTAGACCTTTCTTATTCAGAACTATGAAAAAAAAACCAATAAAATTTGCATTTTGTTTTCCTTACATATATAATTTAGTTTTGAACAGTCTATATATTTTTGCCACTGTCATGATATGGTACATTTTTTTTAAACTGTAGCGACAAAGAACTTATAATCCACCTGTAAATGGCTACTGTCTATGAACACATTCAGTCAACTTCAAAGGAATAAGGCTACAGATGTGTTATCAATTCTGAGGACCATGATGGCTATACTACACTATGACTATATAGTCATAGTGGATGGCTATACTACACTATGACTATATAGTCATAGTGTAGTATAGCCATCATATAAGGTAAGTAAGGATATCCTTCAGATCAGAACATAGCAGTGCTACCCAAACCACAGATTAAATAATGTTACTGAATGTTAATGTTACCAAGAATACAAGATTCCATAAAAATGCTATTAGATGTGTATGACAGTATATAATAAGATACCACTAGTAATTCAAGACCTACCTTTCATTAAATTAAAAATAGAATTACACAAATTGGTCAGTGAAAAGGCTTTTTACACTGTACAGGAATATTTGAACTACGATAGGCAATAGCAACTTGACTGAAACAAATTTACTGGACCAATTGGGCCTACTTATGCAATAAGGAACCAACCCACAAACCTACCAAATTTGAACTAAGTATGTAGAATGCTTCAAAAATGCACTTTCTATCATGTCTGTAAAGATCAAAGTCATATGACAATTATTTCTCGAGTTATCACTATATACTCAAGAAATTTACTCTAAAAACTACAGTTTATTATTAAACTAAAGCAATCAATGTTCCATGGTATACGTAGTAAAAATTCGAATTCACAATTCTTTGTTTTTGTTAAAAGATCCAGGTGGCATGGTTCTTGGTAGCAAAATAAACTTAAAGAGTGTTTGAAAGTGACCAAGTCGTGTGGTTCCAGTTTGTAAAATAACCTTTGATTATTTTAAATTAGAATCAGGTCGTATGGTTTTAGTTTGCACAACAAACTAAACGTTAGCTGTATTTTTTGTGCAGAACCATGGCACATGGCTCTGTTTTAATTAATTGCGTCTTACTGTCAATATTAGAAAAAGCAAAACAAATAGAAAAAAGACCGTCGACGGAAAAATGGTTTCATGGTTTTCAACTAAAGAAATAATGCTAAGGAAAAATGAAATGAATTACACATACATGAGAAGCAGCTTCGAAGATTTTAATAAGATCAACATAAAAGATAGTGTTCGAGGCAGGGCAAGTTTTGAGATTTCTAAGGAGGTGACGGAATCTCTTTGGCCGAAAGGAAAACCCATTTCTGATGCAAAGTTAAAGGGCCTTAAAAGTATTTTGCATCTCATACCTCAAGACGCCCACGAATTTTATGTTAATTTTGTCGGAGATTACCAAATTGAGGACGACCTGGTAGGCTTTTCAGGCCATATAGACTTCCGAGCTTGAAATGCTGAAAGGAACAAACCCACATAAGTACATTTTTGCAGAAAGGAACCATATATATTTTTAAATAAAAGAAACTACTTTTTTTTAGAAGTATTTTTAAATAAACACATAAGATTGTTTCATTCATCACACTGCAAAGTTCAGAATTATTATGATAAATAGTTCGTTTTCTTTACACGATTTTATTTAAAACCTTATGATCTCAAAACTATCATTGTGTGGGTTGGTTCCTTATTGCATAAGTAGGTCCCATTATTAAATCTTTAATAATTATATCCTATTTATTGATTACTTGTTGACATTTTGTTATAGACATTTTACTCTTAAATATTATTATCTCGACCATTTTATAGTTCTAAAGATTTGCATGCTATTAATAATGGTTAATTAAGCGGATGTTTTGCAAAAGGCGACAGTGGGAAACAGGCAGGAGATTGGCAGCAACATCTTCCTGATAATATCAATATCCCAATAAAAAAAATGCGGTTGCCAACCCGCTCGCCAAGCGTGGCAACTATGGCAATATACCCCAAATGAAAAAAGTTACGAAAAGACAGCCTCCAGTCCCCAGCGGCACCGCTATTCCTGGCTACGGTGGCGAACATTGTAACGGCGGGGCAGGGGGTGCTAAGAATCTCCGGTGGAGGTTCGGTTGCCATCAAAGACCACTCGACCTGGTAACTTATAACGCACGCACCCTGAGGACTGACGAGAAGATCCTGGAGCTGGAAGAAGAGATAGACAAATTGCGCTGGCATATTATAGGATTATCCGAGGTCCGAAGAGAGGGGGAGGACACGGTAATCCTCGAATCCGGCAACTTGTTCTATCACCGGGAGGGCCATCGACCATCTGTCCCAAGGAGGTGTCGGATTTATCGTCCGCAAGTCTCTCGTTAACAACGTTGCAAAGATTGGGAGTGTGTCGAAGGGGGTTGCGTACCTTATACTCAGAATCACCAAACGGTATTCGCTGAAGGTCATACAGGTTTACGCACCAACCTCGGCACACCCCGATGAGGAGGTGGAGGAATGTATGAGGATATCACAAGAGCCATGCATTCCCCAAAACACATCACACTACGAGGGCGGCACTGAAAATTTCGGGAATCAAGGAAGTGACACAACATTACTATTTAAAAATGTATTTATTGCTTTTCGAAGTATTCTCCGCGAAATTTGACACATTTTTCAATACGATGGAACCAATCATTGAAGCAACCATTCCATTCGGAAGTTGGGGTCTCCAAAATGGCCGTTTTGTAGGCGTCCACAGCTTCTTCAGGTGATGAAAATCTCTGTCCACGCAATTTATTCTATATTTTAGGGAAAGTATAGAAATCATTAGGGCTTAGGTCGGGGCTGTACGGCGTATGGTCTAATAATTCTATGTTTTCTTCCTCTAAAAACTCTTTTGTTCTGTGTGCGGTGTGAGAACTCACATTGTCGGGATGGAGGATGATGCGGCGGTTGCAGTTCTCTTTACGGAGTTCAGAAACAACCTGTGGCAAACAAATGCTAGCATACCATTCTGCATTAACCGTTCTTTGTCCCTCAAGAGGAATAGTTGTAACATGGCCGGTTTTGGAGACAAACGTGGCCACCATTTTTTTTGCAACACTCCGTGAACGAACAATTTTTGTTGGTTTTAACTCATTTTCAAACACCCAAACTCGTGACTGGTTTTTTGTTTCGGGTTCGTACGCGTATATCCAGGATTCGTCACTTGATACGATGTTGTATACAGCATTTGAAGATCCTGCGTGGAATCTTTCGAGAGTTCTGACGCACCAAGTAACGCGAGCCGCTTTTTGCTCTTCACAGAGCGAATGCGGTATCCATCGGGAAAACAACTTTTTTACACCTAATTGTTCATGCAAGATTATTTGTATTTGACTCATGCCAATGTCTAAAGTTGCCTGAATTTCGCGGTATGTCACATGTCGATCTTCCTCAATCAGCTTACGCACAGCATCAACGTTTTCTTGGGTGACTGCAGTTTTTGGACGACCTTGACGGGGATCATCACTGAGCTTGACACGTCCACGTTGAAATTCAGCAAACCAGCGATAAATTGTGGTTTTGGATGGGGCTTCATCACCAAATGTCAATTCCATTTTCTCTACGACTAAACAAGTTTGATAAAACCTTGTGGCAAGACCGAGAATCTTTTTTTAAATAAATAAATGGTATTCGATTTTTAAAACCAAGGGGTTTTCAAATAAAAAGATTTTAATATGACAGGAACAGTGGAAATATTCTATTCCCGATACTTTTAGTGCAGCCCTCGTATACGATGTTGATGGGAGAGTTCAATGCAAAACTAAGAAAGACACAAGAGAGAACGGTCAGCTGAAAGCAGGGAAATTCGGAATAGGGCAACGGAACCCAAGGGGCCAGCAGCCGGCCGACTTTTTGGAGAATGAGGGACTCTTTATGATGGACTCTTTCTTCCAGAAGCGGCCCCACAGGAAGTAGACCCCCGAGTTTTTTTTAGTAGGTCGAGCCCCGACGGTTCGACAAAAAATTAGTTTGACTTCATTATGACGACCAGATCACAACTGTTCAATGATGTCTCAGTGATCGCGAGGGTGAAAACTGGTAGCGATTACCGAATGGTTAGAGGCTCACTGAACCTAAACGTTAAGTTGGAGAGGTCTCGTCTAATGAAGTCTACGCATCGTCCCCCTCGTGATCTATCCCGAAACCTTTCAGCTCGAGTTACAAAACCGTTTTCAGTGCCTGGAAGACTGCAATGAAGTGAACGATATAAATGATAAGCTCGTGGAAACTGTCCATGCGGTCGGAGCTAAGTTCTGCAAGACCCGCCGTAGAAGAACACAAAAGCCTCCGATCACACTCTTAATATCATGGCTGTTAGACGGGAAATGAAGCTGCAGTCTTCAATAGATTTGACAGCATACAGGCAACTGAACCGACAGATTACCAAATGCATGCGGCGGGACTTACGCAACTTCAATACAGCTTGTATTGAAGAAGCGATCGAGCGGAACCAAGGCTCCAAAGTCTTTGCCAAAGATCTGTCTGCCAGAAAGAGCCAACTGTGAACGCTGAAGACCGAGTGTGGCAGTATCGTTTCCGGGACACCTGTGATTTTGAGTGAGATTGAGAGGTTCTATGGGCAGCTGTACACGTCATCATTGGAGCCACACGCAAGTGTAAGTAACAATCCAAGAGCAAGTCTTATCCGACACTATCCCGAAGATATTCCGGACGTCAGTCTGAGCGAGATTAGAATGGCTCTCCAGCACCTTAGAAACGGCAAGTCCCCGGGCGAGGATGGAATTACCACGGAGTTTCTGAAAACGGGTGGAAAACCGGTACTTGAAGTCCTTCAGGAGCACTTTAATGCCGTCCTCCATGGTGGTACTACTCCGGAGGCGAGGAGCAGAAGTGCGTTGGTCCTGTTCTTCAAGAAAGGCGATAACGCTCTCTTGAAGAACTACAGACCGATTTCTCTTCTGAGCCGCGTCTACGTGCTGTTTTTGAGAGTCATTACGAATCGTCTCGCACGCAGACTCGACGACTTCCAGTCTCCCGAACAAGCCGGTTTCCGAAAAGACTTTAGTACCATGGACCACATACACACCCTTCGGCAAATTGTACAGAAGTCCGAAGAGTACAATTTGCCACTATGTCTGGCGTATGTGGACTATGAGAAAGCCTTTGATTCCGTCGAAATTTGGGCGGTGCTACAGGCCCTTCAACGGTGCCAAGTTGAATATCGGTATATCGAAGTGCTGAAGTGTTTGTACAGTATGGCTACGATGACTATCCGAGTACAGAACCAGAGTACGAAACCTATCCAACTGCAGAGAGGTGTAAGACAGGGTGACGTTATATCCCCGAAACTCTTCACCGCTGCATTGAAAGACGTTTTCAAGCTACTGGACTGGAAAGGATACGGTATTAACATCAGTGGCGAGTACATCACTCACCTTTAATTTACCGACGATATAGTCCTTATAGTAGAATCGCTGGAGGATCTAAGCACTATACTCAATGACCTCAATATGATCTCCCAACGGATAAGTCTTAAGATGAACATGGACAAAACAAAGATCATGTTTAATGTCCATGTCCACATATGCCGGTAGTTGTTGGGAGCACTAAGCTCGAAGTTGTTGACGAGTATGTTTACCTGGGACAAATATCAAAAATCAATAGTCCGACTAGGTAAGTCCAACTTCGACCGAGAGGTCAATCGACGGATTGAACTCGGTTGGGCAGCGTTTGGGAAATTACGGGACATCTTCTCGTCAGGTATACCTCAAAACTTGAAAACGAGACTATACAACCAGTGCGTGTTGCCAGTGACCTATGGAACTAAGACGTGGTCCTTCACTGCTGGCCGAATGAGGAAGCTCAAGGTTGCTCAGCGGGCTATAGAAAGGATATGCTCAGAGTTTCTCTGCGTAATAAACTTAGAAATGAGGATATACGCAGTAGTACTAGAGTAACCGACATAGCCCAACTGATTAGTAAGCTGAAGTGGCAATGGGCCGGCCATATAGCTCGAATAACGTACAACCGATGGGGAAATAAGGTTCTCGAGTGGCGGCCTCGTACCGGCGGACGAAGTGTAGGGCGTCCCCCCACTAGATGGAGTGACGGCCTCGTAAGACATGCAGGAAGGCGATGGATGCAGGTGGCTCAGGAGTCAGGACCGTGTTTTGTGACATTTCTTGTGGAAGCCTATGTTCAGCAGTGGACTTGTGAAGGGCTGTAATGATGATGAAGCGGATGTTTTTTTACTAAGACCATCTTCAAACCAAACGCAAATAAATATTTCATTTCATTTCATTACTACGTTACCCAAACGGACTGCTAGATATAAAGGATTTGTAACATTTTGACTATCATCATCATCATCATGTCGGTGTGTTTGACTATAAATACTCGTATTTTTATATGGAGCAGATACCTTAATTTCGTACTCAATATAAATGTTGTCCAATTCAAAATCGGTCGCCGATAAAATTTCAAATGTGACATACACCTTCGTCCTCCCCAACGGCGGTGGTACAAAGTTCAGTAACCGCTTGTGTTTGTTTTCCCATTTCTTGTAGAGATTGTTTAACTGCAAAGTGAAAATTCATCTTGGACATTGAATGGTTTTGAAAACAAGATTATACAACCGGTGCGTGTTGCCAGTGATGACTTAAGGAACTGAGACCTGGTCCTTCACTGCTGACCGTATGAGGAAACTCACGGCTCAGCGAGCTATGGAGAGGGCTCTGCTCGGGGTTTTTCTGCGTAATAGACTTACAAAGGAGAATATCCTCAGTAGAACCAGAGTAACAGATATAGCCCAGCAGATTTGTAAGCTGAAGTGGCAATGGGCCGGTCATATAACTCGAAGAACCGACAACCAAAGAGGAAGAAAGGTTCTCGAGTGCCAGCCGAGCACCAATAAGCGAATTGTAGGGCGGCCTCCCACTAGATGGAGTGACGATCTGGCAAGACATGCAGGAAGTCGATGGATGCAGGTGGCTCCGGACCGTGCTTTGTGGCATTCCTTTGGGAAGGACTGTGTTCAGTCAGTCAGCTCAGTGGACTTGTGAAGGTATATAATGAATAAATGGACAAGTGTGCACCCTGCGGTAGAGGCGTAAGAGAATACATCGCCCGATTTCGTCCCATGGGTGTCGTAAGAGGAGACTGTGGGTAATTTTTTTTTATAGGATAAGGGTGACAAACGAGCACACAGTCCATCTGATGGTAAGTGGTTGCTGTGGCCCATAGACATCTACATCTATCCTCGTTTGCGAGTCAAAATGCAGATGCGTTGTCACTCGTGAGTACTAAGATGGAATGCCTCTTTTCCAGCATAATATGTCTCCGGTTCTCTACACTCACCATACCAAACACAGCAGAGTTAAGCTGCTATTTGACGCTGGTATTCTGTGAGACCGTGGTCCTTCCCCGGTCGAGCCGACCCATTCATGCCCCCGGCATGGCTCTACCACGTACAGAAATGCCTGAAACATCCCATGGTTCTAAATAGATGGCGGAATAATCATTTCGTTTATGCGTGGTAGAACCACGAACCACGATGCAGCTATATTGTGATTGTAGCACGAATGGGTCGCCTCGATCAGCGAACGACCACGCTTTCATAGAATACCAGAATGAAATAACAGCTGAATGCAGCTGTGATTCGCACGGTCAGTGCAGAGAACAGGACACTCTTTTTACTGAAAACGCGTCATTCCATTTTAGTCGTCAGTTTAACGCACCTGCAATTTGATTATTTTTCGAGAATAGGTGTAGAGGTGTATGGGCACAGCATCCACATACCATCAGATGGACCGTGTGCTTGGTAAATGCTGTGGCCAATAGACTATATCTATCCTGGATTAACAATTAAAATGTAGATGCGTTGTCACCACCAAAGACCAAGATAGAATGACTTGTTACCAGTAAAGGGATCTCTGGTTCTATACACTCACCATATGAAAAACAGCAGCATTGAGCTGCTATTGTAGTCTGGTATTCTGTGAGAGTGTGCTGCTTCCCCTTTCGAGTCGACCCATCCGTGATACAACCATAATATAGATGCATCGTGGTTCTACCACGTATAACGGTAAAAGCGTCAGTTGCTGACTCAACTACATAGAAAATCGATTATTTGTTAAGACCCCTTTGATGAGTAGGCTTACCAACGTCACTAGTTCTTCATCACTTTCCAACTCTTCAAAAATGATCTCTACGCCGTACTGATGGTCTGATGACCCGGCTTCCATCACCACATCGTAAGGGTTTACCATCAGGTCGTTTGCATCGGGCGTTACTATGAGATAATTTTCTATCACATTGTAATATAACGATAGAAGAACATACTCCTGCTTAACAAGGAGTTGGGAATCACTGGAAAAAAGGAATGGCATTTTACTGTCAGTGCTTAGCTTATTATCGTTGGGGTGACAAACGAGTTTAGCCAGTAGGTGAACTTACCTACTGGTTCGTAGTCACTGCAGACCATGGACATATGCAGGGGGTTTCAAACAAAGAAAATGAAAAGATGTTGTGGAGTGGCTGCGACTGTATGATTAACAATCTACAATCACAGAATGTGTAATAGACCGAAGATCGATCAAATGTATATATTTTTTAGTTTCATATATCTCTACTTAGCTTAGAAAGTGGTTTAACCCTGTAGGTGGATTTTAATTAAATGTTACATAGTGATTATGAAATGGTGTCAAACCGGTGGGTGAGTGTTTAAAACAGGTAATATGCACCACTTAATTTGCTCTGTCGTCTGCGATGTGGATGTGCTGTGGATGAACTAAATAATTTCATCTCATCTTTAATAATAATGCATTTCTACAAACGAATGTCTGATTCTCTATTATATATAAAAAATTGGTTGATCCCACATAATTTTTGTTCTCTCTCTATCAGCACATAAAAGACCACTTCTGGACATGGACCTCTACCGTTGTAGGCATGATTGCATATTACTTATTAATAAACATTAACATTTACATTAACTATGTAATGGCGGTGTAAGAATATCCACTGCCCCATATTGTCCCATGGGTGTTGTAAGAAGCGACAGAATGGAACTAAAAACTGCAGTAGCCAACCCATCTGCCAAGCATGGCAACTATGACAAAACCCTTTCTATGAGACAATCTGTGGGGGAGACTATTCTCAGCACGATGGATTGAAATATTAACATATCGAATTTTTTACATTACTAAGAACAATAGGATTTTCTCTCTGTATTGTGGAGGCAGTTTACATACATAAATTGCACAAGGACAAACATCCAGACCCAGAATAAATTATTGTTTATAAACACGGCTCTGTCCCTTAGTGCTAAGCCACTACGGGACTGTAATGTTTTAATTTATTAAGTGGTAGGTCTTTTTCTGCTTAGGCGTCTATTAGGTACCAAGCAGCAGCAACCAGCTCCTGTGTTCTGGTCCTATGAGCTATTAGTTTAAAAAAATATAATTCAAACTTACTCTGTGTATAGGGAATCATCTAATACAACATGCATTGCAATCCATTGCTCTTTTCCTGTGGTGATATTTTCATCACTCCTAAATAAATGATGTGTTGAGCTTGAATTTCCAAGAACTCTCCCAATCCTGTCTTCTAAATTCAATTTCTCTAAGCATGAATTAAGATTAAAGAAGCTTTTGTTTGCACTCTTTTTCCAGTTTAATGGCGATGGTAAATGATTATCTTGATTAACATATGTAAACACTTTTTGGGCCTCATATTCTCTAGATTTTAGCATACCATTGTAACACAAGTCGGCATTACTTATACAGTTATGTATTTCTTTATAGTGATTGATTTCCCATGCACTAAACACTTTTTCTTGCCATTTAAAAACATATTCCTCAACTTTGTCTGTGTCGACTTTCTCTAAATTAACCTTGTTTGATGTAGTCACAAAGTCTTCATATTTTGGTAAGCTTATAATACTTGACTGGGGTTTAAATTTAATTCTGCAATAATTATATAAAAAAATTATGATGTAATATGAAATGTCTTATAATTTTTTTACATATCACACGAGTTACATTTGTAGTTTGAGAAACCTGCTTTAATTCAAAACACAAACTAACTAAACTAAAGTAACTCAGATTAAACATAAATACCACAATGAGTAATAATAAGTGTCTGGGCCTGTGTAAAAATAACATTAAATATCATCATCATCATCATTAGGTATAGCTTTTCACAAATCCACTGCTAAATATGGGTCTCCCCAAGGAACGCCAATAAACATGCTCAGGATCCACCTGCATCCATAGACATCCTCCATGTCTTACCAGGTTATCACTCCATCTAGTTGAGCATTTCCGTACAGTTCTTTGAAATATATGGTCGAACCATTGCCACTTCAGCTTACTTATCGCATTATAAAAGATGGTATTTTACTCTGGCAAAAAAATAATTATAATAAAATAAATTCATTACATATTCATACAACATACTTTATTTTTAAATCAGTCACGGGCTGCTTAAGCCAATAAATTTCAGTTCTTTTGTTATTTCGATTAAAATCAAACATGATAACTTAAAAAATACGAAAAGTCACAGAGTACTTTTATAAAGTCACGGGCCGATTTAGGATTTTATTCTCCCTGGTGGCACATGCTTCACATTTTTATTATTTATAATTTTAGATTATTTAAACCCACACACATATATAATACATTTATTTATTCTAATTTATACACTAATGATTACATGCTTGATCTGTGCAAAAACGAAAAAACGAAAAAAGTTGTTTATTTTATTTTCATAATTTGTTTGAGAGCAGGTTGCTATAGAAACGGTTTTTTTTTAATTCTTTAGCATTGGCTTTAGAGCCTTCCGCCGAAAATAGAAACGAAAACTAGGGCATTAAATATATCAATGTTATGAGTTTATATATTAGAATTTTAACCATTAAACATGCAATTAAATTAACAAATAATGTGATATCAATGTTAAAACAACATTATTATACTCCAAATGATCCACGACTTTTTCTGCCACCAGGGCGGCGCCACTTAAAAGTGAGGTATATTTGACAGATTTCATAGCGGGAAAATTAATTAGTTCGGAAAATGTAAAGGTTAATGTTTCTTTCTATACTATTATCTCTATTTTATATTAATAATTTAAAAATGAATAAACTAAACTATAGATATTCATAAATGTAGAAAAATTAAGAAAAAGTTAAAAATGTGCAAAAATTTAAGAAGTAAACCACTGAGGCATTGTCTTGTGTATTAATATAATACACTATAAACTGATAAACTTTTAATTAAAACTAACTACTCAATTAAATGAGATTGTGTAACAAAAAAACTTTACCTCAGTGTCAACTAGCGACATCTGGTGAGCAGAAAATTATTAGCCCTCATTCGTAGGCTGGGGTAGGGGGTTTTTGTTTCGTTAATGGCACATCAATAGATATTAATATAGTCTATGGAATGGAAAAACGGCAACAACCTTGTAAAAGGAAGAAGGTGAGAATCAAGAATAATATAACTATCCATTGACTTAGAATAAACTTACGCCAGTATATTATAAGTCTATGATAGCTATCTTGTTTTGTAACATGTTAAACATCTTAATATGTAGAAAGAGTTCTGCTATAAGAATTTTGTTCTTATTTTAGGACTTTCTCTATGCGAGTAATTACTCTGAGTTTTGTACACAACAAACATTCATTTGGAGTTTTGGTGGGAACTTGACCGGCGGCGGATTGCTGCTCCTGTATTATTGTTTAAATAATGGTTTGAAGTGGATTTTGATATGTAATAGTGGTGCGATTTTGTGTAATAAGTGTCTGCGCATGCGAACTATTAGTGGGAACGATGAAACATGTGCTCTGATGGTGATGTGATTCTCACGATAAGGTGTCTGTTTGCTTAATTAAGCGCCTTGAGATACCTTCGCCAACTGTCAGCTGTCTGCTGGCGCAAGTCGCCGTCAAAATCTCCCAAGAGCTGCACAATGTGACGCATCAACATATTGTGAAGCAGTGTACTATGAAGGATTTTTATACATTGTAACTTCAGGTTTAGAAAGGTTAGAACCCAGAACCGTAAAGCCAGTTATGAAAAAAAAATCATTAATTTGTCAAGTGTCAATGTCAATTGCAAAGTGGAAGTGGAACTGAAGCGAATAATCAGCGTTGCCAACATGTGGGAAGTTCCCTAAACTGCGAGGATTCTCAAGTTAATTGAGGATTTTTTGGGGTGATTTTTTGATGATTATGCAGTGAAACTGCGGGGATTTTTAAAATCGATAGCCCGGGCCAAGTCCAACCCTTTTCCAAGGAATCAAAATACTTATCTTAACATTTTTGTTATGTTACTTATGGATAACGTATGACTCCCTTTTTTTAATTATCTTCTTTGCACCACATTTAATTTTTGGATTTATTTCGGCACCTTATGTGGATCATTTAATGCTTTTTCATTTCCTTTTTTTTTTAATTTTAATGTATAAAGGTACTTTTTATTGGCAACAAGGGAAGTTATAAAACACTTCATACCCTGGGCTTATATACAAAAATCGATTTTTAAGGAGTAAACAAAAAATATCTTATAACATTATTTTAAACTTGTTATATTTCCTCAAATAAATTTCAGTGGAATTTGTGGGGAATCTGTTGATTTTTTGTCCCTAAATTGGGTAATTTGACTCGGATTTTCGGAGAATTTGACAAACTGGTGATGCATAGATACGAAAATAATATATAGATTTCTATTCTCTTTGGTCAGTCACTTCCTTATATACTACTATACTCTTTGGTCAGTAAGTTACTAACAGTATATTGGATGAGGTGGTTACTTGGTGCTGTTATCAATAACATAAACATTAGTAATTAGTATATCTAAATTTTATCTAAACGTTTTAGGGACTTTTATCTTATCACATAATCGAATGGATCGAATCCATTGCGAATAATCTAGGATAGGATTTAAACGTATCCGTGAGATGACGCGCTCTTTAGTCAACATTCAACAAAGTGAATTTTTGATTGCTTGACCGGTTCTTCACATAAAATTTTGAGTGAAAATGTCTTCGCAACAGAGAGAAACCGTGGTTTCAGTGCCGCTCACACCGACGAGGTCGGATTTATACTGGCGACGAATTTTTAACAAAGTAAGTTTTCTTGATATTTTCCAAATTCCGAACTTTCTCTTTTTTGTCACAATTACCCTACTAAAATATATTATTTACACATTTGTAATTCTCGGTACTCATTCAGTACAGTGATTCTGAAAAAAATGTATTTCAAGTTAGTATGTAAAGAATTTCTGCGAATGAATATTTCTACCACATATAAAATATCAAATTATTTATAACTTCGAATAAATGTATGATTAGAATTAATTAAACATTTAATTAAATTTCTTTATTAAAATTTTGTAGATTAAAACTTTTTTCAGAAGTTTAATGACTTATCTAAAAAAAATTAGGTTGCCACTGAAAATCAGGGCTAGGATGCTAGATATTAGCATATCCTAAGGTGCAGTCCTATTTTGACCATTTCACATGAAACAATTTTTTCAGATCTGCATTTTTTTACCATTTATTTTTCCTTGTTATTTTTTTATTAAGTTTAGATATCTTTTTTTTTTTCTCTTATTTGGATCACCAACAGATATCTTATAACTTACACTTCATAAAATGTTAATATTTATTTAGACTCACTAAAATTTTGTAAAGAAGTGGCTAAATAAATATCTCTTTCTTTCTTTCAAATATACAATATTTATTACTATAATAAAAAACAAAACAACTAAAAACTTAAATTATCATACAGTTACTCCTGGCGGTATAGTGTTTTAATAGCTGTTTTTAAGCATAATAAAAATATTCATTAGTTAACATAACATAACATAAACACTCACGCCTGTCACCCAGAGGGGTAGGCAGAGATTATGGACTTCCATTTGGCACGATCCTGACACACCTCTCTCGCTTCCTCCACATCCATATACCTACGCATACACGCTCGTCGGTTAAAGGTACTCTTGATTTGGCCCATTTTTAATATATCGCCAATTTGGTCGATAAACTTTCGCCTAGGGCGACCCTTCCCGACTATGCCGTTCACGTTAGTTAAATTTGTTATAAAAATATTATATCACTATTATACACATATTCTGACAGCATTACTCAAATATATTTAATTTGTAATACCAAACATATGAAGCATAGACTCAAAATCTCACATGACTCATGCCTTATTCACTTTTAAAAAATAAAATTTATTTAAGCGTTTCCTGTCTTTAGAATGGATAAAAGTATGTTATAATTTCTTTGAGAATAATTAGGTTTGTATATTTATTGTTACATTATTTTTCTACTAAAGCTTATTTTTTGCAGACTTTCTTGGGTAACATTTTCTAGCATAATTTTTTACTTCTAACTACCAACCTCTCTGCTACAAGTTTATAATGCTGCAAATATATACTTGTAACTTTCATTACTTATTTGTTTTATATTACAAGATCAGGGGTGTCACTTCCACTATGGAAGGTATGGAGCACTCCATACCTCAAGTTTTTCAAGGTATGGAATTCCATAGCTGAAATTAGGAAATAAATCGCATATTACTACAAACCCCATATAAATAAATCACAAGCCCTTAAACCTCAACACCCCACATCTTATAGTTCAATAAATAAGTTGAGTATATACACTGCAAACTCTTAAACCTTAATACCCCACGAGTAATGCGAACAAATTTGAAAATCGCGCCACCATTTTCCATACCTCAGATTTTTACAAAGTGACACGCCTGTACAAGATAATGTGTCAGGATCATGCCAAATGGCAGTCTGTAACCTCTGCCTACCATGCCTGCCCACTTCTGGGTGACAGGCCTGAGTGTTTATGTATGTATGTACAAGATATTATCTTTTATCTTCATAACTAACAATTCATTGATTACAGCCTAGAAAAAGAAAACAATAATAAGGTCCATCCCTGAACTTAAATTGCTTCAGCGGTTATTTCCAATATTTGCCAAGCTTTGCAGATGTGGTGACAAATGATTTTCAAATGATAAAATATCTTATTTTAGGTTACAAAAGGAAATATATATTTTTGATTTATTTTATAAACATTACATCTACACTAGGATTTTCTCCTGTATCGTGGGGGCAGTTTACAAACATAAATTTCACAAGGATAAACATCCAGACCCGGAACAATTATTTGTAGGTGATATGAATAATTGTTCCATGTGGGATTTGAACCCGCAGCTCTTAGTAAATTTATTATAAAACTAGCGATCCGCCCCGGCTTCGCACGAGTGATTTCTGGATCTCGATAATAGGGCCACCTACCGGGTCCAAAATCGGTGAATATAAACCATCCAGGAACCCACTCAAACACACACGAAAAATTTCATCAAAGTTGATCAAGCCGACAATTGACTTTTTTATATACAAAATATATAATATAAAAAATATTTTATATAATTAATAGAATCAGGCGTTACTTTGCGAAAATCCATTATATAAAAGCCCACTAATCCCAGCACCAGCTGGTGCTGGGATTAGTGGTGTCGGGGATAGTGCACGCAATTGAGGGAGGGCGGGAGGTGCTCTTCATACTAGGTGAGACACATCATTTTATTTTATAACGCGGATATTTGCGAAGTAAATTTTTCTAAAAGCTTTTAAATATTTTATATACAGCGCCACCTACCCGGTCCAATTGTAAATCTAAACCTTCCAAGGACCCACTCAAACGCACACAAGAATTTTCACCAAAATCGCGTTTGAGCGCAATTGATTTTTATATATAGAGATACCTATGTAAAGTATTTTCTAGAGGACAGTGTATTTCTATATATTCGTGAATACAAAAGAATATAAATTAATATAAGTTAAATATTATGATAAAATTACACATAAACATTAAAAGATGATGCGGTAATCAGTGGCGGCAAACTTAAGGCAAACTAGGCACGTGCCTAGGGGCGCAATATAAAAAAGCGGCCAAGTGCGAGTCGGACTCGCCCATGAAGGGTTCTGTAGCAGCAAGTAACATAATTTACGATTTATGAAGTACATGGTAATGTACATCATATACTTTTTTTTTAGTTTTATCATTCTCTTAATTTAGAAGTTACAGGGGGGGGGGGACACACATTTTTCCACTTTGGAAGTGTCTCTCGCGCAAACTATTCAGTTTAGAAAAGAAATGATATAAGAAACCTCAATATCATTTTTGAAGACCTATCCACAGATACCCCACACCTATGGGTTTGATGCAAAAAATTGCCAGTGGTAGAGCCACGCGGCAGCTTTTGCTGTCGCACGGATGGGCCGGCTCGAACCGGGGTAGTACCACGACCTCACAGAAAACCTGCGTGAAGTAGAGGTTTACCTCTGCGTTTCGCTTGGTGAGTGCAGGTGGCCGGAGGCCTTTTTTACATCTTAGTCCTCACGGGTGACAACGCATCTACATTTTGATTTGTAACAGAGGATAGATGTAGATGTCTATGGGCCGCAGCAACCACTTACCATCAGGTGGACTGTGTGCTCGTTTGTCACCCTTATCCTACATAAAAAAATTTTTTTTTGAGTTTCAGTTCGAAGTATGGGGAACTCCCAAAATTTAATGCTTTTTTTCTATTTTTGTGTAAAAATCTTAATGCGGTTCACAGAATACATCTACTTACCAAGTTTCAAAAGCATAGTTCTTATAGTTTCGGAAAAATGTGGCTGTAACATACGGACGGACAGATAAACAAACAGACATGACGAACCTATAAGGGTTCCGTTTCTTGCCATTTGGCTTCGGAACCCTAAAAAGGAGCGCGCGTGAAAGTATTTAAACGAAAAAAAAATCGTCTACTTGATTACTCCTTCATCACCCTCACTCTCTCATCACAGTTTTCATTTACTCCCACCTGTGTACCCTTAACACGTGTCCTAATTATTTTGCAATATAATATAGTTTATAATATAAATTATAATTTATAATTCATGGCCGCTAGAGGGCGCCCATGAGGTGCTAGCCTAGGACGCTGTCGACATTTAATCCGCCTCTGGCGGTAATGGTAAGGAAGAACATATCTAAAATTTATAGATTTATGTAGATTATAGATTTATAGAGATTATAATAACAGTAAACGCGCGCAAAATACGCGCTTAGACGTGTTGTGGAAAATAGTCCTTGGTAAACTAAGAGGAAGTCCATCATCACGTTTCTTCCAAAGGATGTCGTAAGGAGGTGCCAATAGATAGCCGGTATTCATCTCGTCAGATGTAAAATATTAAAGATGTAAAAAATAAAAACGATTGTCCATCACCATCTTAAAGAGCACCTCCCGCCCTCCCTCAATTGCGTGCACTATACTCGTCAGCACCACTCCCAACACCACTACACTAGGGAATACACACCACCGTCGATAATAAGACACGTGTTTTCGTCGGTTAAACGAGGCATCATCAGGAGATATAGAATCGGCGATGGCTGTGCGATAAGACACCGTAGAAGAATACGCAGATCGGCGACGGGAAGCTGCGTCAAATGTGCACACCTATGGTACTGCGATCCTCAGTCCGCCTGTCAAACGAGACGACAAAGGGAAACTGAAACAGGAGATGGGCAGCAGCATCTTCCTGATTACAACTCAAAATTGTATAAACTGTGGCTGCCAACCCGCTTGGCACTGTAGCAAAATAAGAGAATTTTATTGGGATAGGCCTATGTTCAGCAGTGGACTTTTATAGGCTGTAATGGTTAGATGGATAGCTAATAGTGTTGCAGTCATTGACCTTTACCTTCAAAACGCACTCTTCAATACATCACTCACTAGCAGCTACAATAAATCGAAATATAGTTAACAATGTGTATGTGTAAATCTATTTCTGTCTTTCGCAATCCATCTGGCACTGCTCCAAAGCACGTACAGTTTGTAAAAACCGTATCAAACATACTATGGAATGCATTTGACATAATATGTTTATGCACGTGTTTATGTATGTAGATAAGTAAAACGCCTGTACGAGACATAAGAAAATTTCAAAGTTTTTTTTTTTAATTAGTTTATGGGTGACAAATAAATAGTACACAGTCCATCTGATGGTAAGTGGACGCTGTGGCCCATAGACGTCTACCTCTATCGTCGATTAAGA